GCATCATTTGTGCATGAGTGCAAGCAAATTTGCTCTTGAAACAGCTCTACTTGAAGAAACTTTAGGCAAGTTCTGTACCGAAATGTTCACAAGGAGATGCGCACTTGAGCGGCTTCAAAGCTATTCACTCTCATTGCAGAAGGGTTTTGGCAACCAAAATGGCACGAACGTTTTACACAACCCTATCACATCAAAGTCCGCTATCATCATTTTTCAAACAATTCGATCAGGTTCTTCATGTTAGAAGAACGTTCGCATGAAGGTGATGTGTGGCGAACTGAAGAGGGCGTTGATGGAACTCAATGAATATAATGTATTAGCTCGTTGACGACCATATGTACCGTTTTCGGTACGTAGCATATGGCGCTCCGGTCTGCGGAGGGATACGGCTGGTTTGTATCATTACGCGCTTTCATGGAAATAGAAATTTATTTGTTGATTAAGTTTTTGAGGGCACACCGTCAGCATTACTTGATGAAAGATCACGAAAGAGACTTCTACAGAGGGTTTTTTGGTTAAAAAAAAACATCCATCTGCAGGAAACCATTCCATGCTTCAACGAATGAATTACATCTTTTCGAAAACAAACTACTTTTGATTGTCACATGACTTTCTTTTTTCTGTTTGAACTATATTTTTGTGCTCAATTGCTAGACCAAAAGATGCTGATTTTCAGATTAAGATGATGAGACAACTTAAAAATGTCAAGTGGTAACTCGAAACCCCACTTTTTGCGAGTATCTAGCTTTTCTCTTGGAGCGCGGTATTATAGGAGGAGGATCTAATATTCCTACTACAAATAGCTTTAATAGCCTCTCTCCTGTCACCTCCTGTGATTTGTTGGCGATCAAAATCCTTTTAGTGATGATAAAAGTAGGAATTTCATTAGAAGGCTGCCGCATTGTGACTGTACCTTTTGCAACTCTAAATGCTTCTTACCATCGGTTGTTTTCCAGTAAGCCTTTGTACCCACACTTGTTGTCTACGATATGGCTTCTCTCTTCGGTTAGAGAGACTGTCTCTCATTGGTCCGTATATAAGTGAGTCACGGGTTCAGACGACAATGAATACCTTTGGACAAGGCCCTCTCTGCAATGACTCACGGTGGTCTACCGATATATCAAGTCACTGAAACTATCCTCATACACAAGTCTCGTATTTTTCACCAACTCCGGAGAGATGGAAGGCTTGGTTATCCTCGAACTCGAAAGCGAATTAACGACCACGTCTTCGTCGTCAGGCACCTTTAGCCGCTGCACTTCACGCGCCCTGTCTTACGAGAGATCAGATATATCAACCTGAATCCATGCAGTCGTCGTGTCCACCATTCGTCATAAAGTAATGCGGTCCTCTGTTTTGATCATACAGGCGGTTTCGAGCCAATCGGCAATGTAAAGTATTGGGTGAAACCTCCATAATTCACACAGTTTCCTATACCTCAATAGCGGCACTTCGTTTGTATGAAGAATACTTTCGAAGGTGTCTTCCCATTGAGATTCAGCATACCATTATTTCCGTTGTAGGGCTATGTCTCCTTCCCGACTTGCCGTAGCGTTCAATCTTTTGTAGCTCGAAGTGGCTATTTCTCGTGCCAATTGTAGTGACTCGTTTTTCACTTTTCCTCCTGTTCAAACGTCTGCAGGTGTTGGTACATGTTTTCGCACAACTCGTAAAACTCTTGAGACCTTCCAGATGAGTGCTGAATATCCATAAAAAACTGCAAGGATGAGTGCCTCGTAGTCACGCATGATCTCGTACCATATTTCAGGTCGATTTTTTTTATCTGTGCCAGGCACGCTCCTCACCCCATGTAAGATTGTCCGGCTGGTCTCTAACAGTGACCCAGTGTGGATTATCGTTAACAACCTCGTCGCTGCTTATCAAGGTAATACCTTCTTTCGCATTGCAATTTCTGATAAGAGTTCCTCTTAACGCTTTGAGTGTAGGTAACTATTTTTGCTTATCATCTTATCAAATGAAGATTTTTTTTGAAAATCAATTCGATTATGATGCTGCTGTCCGAATTATAATGTAGTTCTATAGTTGTCTAATGCGTATTCTCATTGTAATCGATAGTGCGAAAGTAACCGCGATAATTTGAAGTAAACGTAGTTACTGAGGTCGCAATTACTTTTGCAGCAACGTGTGGATGTACAGCAAGGCGGTACACTAATATAAGAAGTAAAAGTGCTGCTCACATCTATGCAGGTGATCGATTTTTACAACGTAATGCTTTAGATTTTCTGTGATTTCACCAACTCTGTTTTTGCATGGCTTAATTAGAGCTTTTCAGAACAGGAGGCTAAGAGGAAATCTTAACATGCAAGACTTTGATTCTAACGAATATTGAGACAAACTCAGATTGGAAAGGTCTCAATGACGAATTGCCTTATGCATGCCTTGTCGAGCCGGTTAATCGGTAGATAGTCTTCAAATGGGGTAGGAGATTTCTCAGAACTTCTACTTCATTTTTTTCCTACTTGCTTGATATTATAGCATGGGGGAAATGTTTACACTACGCATGTTTTTCAAACATTCGCTTCAATCATGAATTATCAATGGAATGTAATATGTTCTTTCCCGTATTTTTTCTCAGTAGCAATGTTTCCAGTTATTCGCAAAATAACAACTGGTTTGAAGTGCATTATATTTAACATATTCTAGCAGTGAATGTGTGGAAGAGGAGTGCATGTTTTGTGTACTTGAGAGAGTCTGTCAATTATCAGGGTTGTTTTCACATAGCAAAACAATTTTGAGTTGCCATTTGACATCATTATCCGTAAATTACGTTTCATTGACATATGAAGCGCTTTGTTCGAATGTTTAGAACTAGAAGGTGTTAAAATCTGTTGCCGCTGAGTTCTGTTGGAGTCGATAACGATACTCTGTTTGAAGAGTAAAATTTCACTGCTCCATATAGTGTATTTCAATAAAGCTATTGGGTGGGCTTTTGATTTCAGAAGCTGGACGAACAGAGAGCAATGCTTCTTCCTGGTTTGACAAACAGGAAACAAACTCTGGAACTTGTCAAGAAGCTTGGGTCGGTTGTTTGGTATTTTGAAGAAGTCCTCTCCAGCTATTCACCACGTTTGCTAATTGTCTGTTGTCTTCTTCGTTTTGCTCTTTCGCTTCAATTTTAAGTGCTGTCAAACAGGCAAATAAGCAATTTACATGTGTTTGATTTGGGAACTGAAGGGTTTTTTCAGTGTCTTCTTATGTGTGGGGGATGAGAAATTTTCATTTCATTCATAAATGACTGATGTGTTTTATAATATAGTGCTCATAACGTGACAGCAGTGGGCATAGTAAGCTAGCTAACCATGGAAAATGATATTTGAGCGTCTATTCTTTTTGTTGGCATGTCAAAGAACTGTATAATGCCGGTTGTACAGATTCTCCCGATTTTTTTGAACATGCCAAATACCAGAAAGCTTCCATAGATTTTTTCTTAGCAATAATAGTATTATGTTTAGTGGTTCTTTCTGATTAAGAGAGAACAAATGAAAACCTATCTCATTCGCTGGAGAGGAACTTTTCAGAGGAGTTTTAGTATCCATTCGAAAGCTGAAACTTCAGGCTACAGCTCCTCATCGCCCTTTTTTTAAAACAGCCCTTTATAACGGTGAAGCATCCAGATCAAAACTCATGTTTCATACTCGCCTTTCGCCTTTATTTTTGTCGCGCGTATAATTGCTGGAAGCATAAAAAGCTTATCATTTTGTAGAACTATTTTCGTAGTATCTTAGCCAGTTGTCTTACCTGGAGTTTTTTCAAAGCGAAGGAGAAATTGAATTGAATAACAATTGATCGATAGTCCCGTCTCACTGCGCTTCTGCCACGGCCCTCGCCTTGTCAAATGGGAAACAGCGTTGCCAAGAATGTGAAACTCGATCTTATTTTCCCAGGTAAACCGTATCAGAAATTAACACATCCCTAGAATTAGAAAATATTCCGCTATCGGATTATTACTGATTATCTTAAGAAAGAGCTCTGTCCGGCGACGTGTAACGCAGAAATCAGAGACCAGGGGAGATCAAAACATTGAAGAAGCATTTTCAAGAGCAAACATACTTTTGAGTTCTTTAAAGTTTGTGATATAGTTTGAGTACTAACACTCTAAGGAAGGACTTTTGGTTAGCGATATATAAGCGAGATTAGAGAAAAAAACTCGATCAACATTATTTTATTTTGAATGTTGCAGCGTTATGAAGGGGTGTCCTGAGCCGGCGGCGTGGGGCTGTAGCCTCAAGTCTCAGCTTTTGAATGGTTGCTGACACCTCTTTGAAAAGTTTCTCTCCAACGAATGACAGCGATTTTTCATTTGTTCCTTCCTAATCAGAAGGAACCTGCTTGGTGTTTGCAACACTTTTTTTGCAGATCTGCTTCTGATAAAGGCGATAATGCGAAGATAGGCGAAGGACTATATAAGGCCCAAAAATGAACCTCAAAGAGGAATACCTCGTAATAACGCGTGACCTAGCACCATACCTCAGGCTTATATTTTCGGTCCTGAGCCAGAAACAGTCTCACATTAGCACAGACTCCAAGTGGCAGGTCTTCAATGATTAATTGAAAGACCTAAAACATCTAATCGGTGAGTGGTTTTGAAATGAAATTTTCCTAAGCGACCCAAAAATTTATCTCTTACGTTTTCTGCTAGGGTTATGAAGGCTTTTGATTAAATAATTTGAGAATCAATTTGACCTTTCCAGGCTCTGAAGATGGCGAACCTTGCCAAAACGTAAGCCACCACGATTGTTGTAATATTTATGCTGCATTATTAATGTATTGTTATATGTTTCGCTGATATTCAATAAATAATATCAATAACACCTCAAAGCGGCCAAACGAAGAAGATACTCATTTGCAAAATGTTCAATCGCAGTCGCATACGAATGCAACGTTGCCCATACTGTGAATAATAATAGGATGTATAAGAACTTCGTGACATTTGTATGTCAATTTGATTTCTAAGAAAATTGAGTGGTGAGCAAAAACATGGCCTCAAGGGGAGTTGAACCCGCGTTTCATCCTATCCCGGGACGCGTGCTCTACCACTACACCACCGAGACACATTTGCCCCACCACTCACCAATTCAGTTTCTGCAATAATTGCATGACTTTGATGCTGTCCAATTACACACTTTCTTTCAACATTTTGGCACATAAGTTGCCTATAGTTGCTTTGAGATGGAGCCGTCATATGAATAAAATCGCTTGTCACTCATGCACGAATAACGCCTATGCGAAAAATACTAGTGAAGTGGCGCACAAGATTAATGGAGCTTGCTGTGGATGGCCTAAGCACGATTGATCCTCCAAAGTGTTCTCTTCAGGTTTAATTTTGCGAGCCGCTTCCTAGCCGTCCTTTCTGCAACCGTATGATTGCCCATGCTCCATTAACTTTGCACATCGCTTCACTAGCATTTTCCCCTGCGCGTCATTCGTGCATGAGTAGCAAGCAAATTTGTTGCTGCAGCTCCATCTTGATAAACCTTCAAGCAAGTTGTATACCGGAATGTTCGCAAGGAAATGCGTAGTTGAGCGACATCAAAATTACACAATTTCATTGCAAAAGTCTTTTAAAACCAAAATGGCACGAACGTTTTACACAACCGCTCACATCAAAGTACACCGTCATCTTTTTTTAGATAAATCGAACAAGTCTCCATTTTATAAGAACGTTCGCATGAAGATGATGCATGACGAACTGGTGAGGGTGGTGATGGTAATCACTGATTATAATGTGTTAGGCGAGGTATGTATTCATTTTTGTCTTTTTACACTTTCCGGACGTTATCTGATTTTCGCTGGAAAAGAAGATAAGGTAGAGTCCCTGAGTTTGGCGCGAAAAGAGCCATCTTTAATGGCTACAACACGATAGGAGCTTCTCAGGTCAGTACTAGAGGAAATTTGGCGCCCCTATACGGAAGGTCCGGCGAGGATAAAGTTCCATTCATCCTGCCTTTTATTTCCAACGAAGTAGGTGCAGCTATTAAACGCTGCTCAAAAGAACGGGTTTAGATAATTCGGTAGCAGTAGTCGAGATACCACAAAAACACTAAAACGTCAATTAGTCCGCAACCGATTGTATGATCGCCTCTGCGAAACCAACGACTGCAAAGTTTGCCAAAAGGGCAGAGACGGCGACTGCATGAGGTCGGGTACAATTTACCTGATCTCTTGCGAGGCATGCGGGGATTAATATATTGGCGAAACGGGTAGACCACTCTCCATTCGGGTAAAACTGCACCTAGCTGGGCAACGTAACTCCGACCTAAAACCCCACTAGGCACGCATGAGGAACAGATGCATAAAGGAGCAGATATTGACGTTAAATTCACGGTCCTTGCACAAGAATCAAAAGAATCTACGCGTAAAATTTGGAAGCCTTCTGGTTACATAGCAAAGGCCCAAAAATGAACTGTAAAGAGTAACGCGTTGTAGTAACGCGTGAACTCGCACCACACCTCAGGCTAATATTCCCGGCCTGAGCCAGGCACAGTCTCACTTAAGCACAGACTCCAAGTGGCTGGTCTTCAATGATGAATTGAAAGATTTGAAACATCTAAACGGTGAGTGGTTTTGGAATGAAGTTTTTCCTATCACCTGTCACCTGTCGTCCCGTTGATCGTCGAGTGACTCGAGCGGGTACCAGCAACTCTTCCACTTTTTCCTATCGCGTGCAAGAGTAGCCTAGTGGGTCCTCCTCGCTCTAGGGATTCGCTGAGCATCATATCTTTCTTCTATCGCTTTCGTGAAGAAATCGGACCAACGGGTCAGTGGTCTTCCTTTAGAGCGCTTGACGTCCCGAGGAATCCAGTCGGTAACGGCTCTCGTCCATCGGTTGTCGTTGAAGCGCATCACGTGTCCGGCCCACCTTATTTTCGATATCCTGGCGTGTAGAACGGCGTCTCTGATTTTCGATCGTTGACGTAGGTCGGAACTTCGGATCCTTTCTCTCATTTGCGAGATACGGGATACTTCTAGCATCGACCTTTCGATCTGCGCGTTCGATAACGGCAAGTGATCTTTCATCCTGCTTACGTAGCGACCAGGTTTCTGCTGCATACGTGAGGGCAGGGATAATTGTCGAGTCAAAAGGTGGGCACGGAGTCGGATGTTCTTTGTCCTCTTCACTACATCTTCGATGCTCTTAAACGTTCCCAAGCCGCTCGTTTCCTCCTGCTCAACTCTGGAGCTAGGTCGTTCATCATGTTGATTTCACGACCTAGATAGATGTAACTGGAGCATTCGGAGATTGTCGCTTCCGTTGAGCGTGAATGGAGCATTAGAAACCCATCCGTTCCTCATGAACATTGTTTTCGTTAGATTCAGTTGAAGACCAATCTTTCCACAGGCGTTATCGAAATCGGTCAACATTCGTTCCGCTTGGCTGATGTTTGGTGTTATGAGAACGATATCGTCAGCAAAGCGAAGATGGTTTAATTGTCGACCGTCAGTTTTCACTCCCATTTCGTCCCATTCTAATGTTCGCATGACGTTTTGTAGGGTGGCAGTGAATAGTTTTGGCGAAATTGTATCGCCTTGTCGAACCCCTCTTCTTACGTCAATGGTGATATTGTTGTAGAATGGAGATATTTGGTCGTGAAATCTTTATAAAGCTCACGAAGGATCATTATGTACCGAGTAGGGACGCCCTGGTTATCCAGAGCCTCTATAACCGCTTCTGTTTCCACTGAATCAAAGGCTTTCTTCAGATCGATGAAAGTGAGACAGAGTGGTTGTTTGTACTCTCGTGAAACTTCAATGAGTCTTGTAATCGTGTGGATGTGGTCCATGGTACTAAATCCTTTTCGGAACCCTGCTTGTTCGCATGGCTGTCCTTCGTCCAGTGTTCTGTCAATCCTGTTTAGGATGACTCGAGTAAGAGTTTATAGACAACGGACAGCAAGCAGATTGGGCGATAATTGCCTATGTCGTGAAGGTCTCCCTTTTTGAACAACAATACGGTCTTGCTGGTTTTCCATTGAATAGGGACCTTGCATTCTGACAGGTAGCGAGTGAAGAGCCGAGCCAGGGTGTTGATGAGAACTGGCGGCAGATTCTTCAGGTGTTCTGGTCTAATCCTGTCTGGACCGGGTGTTGTTCTGTTCTTCACCGACGATATAGCATGTCGGATTTCGGAAGGGAGGACCGGTGGGACGACATATTCGTCCTCTTTCAATTTATATGACGGTAAGAGGACATGGCTAGCGAAGAGATCCGAGTAGTATTGGTGGATGATTTTCTCCATAGCCCTTCTCGAAGCTGTAAGTGTCCCGTCAGGGTATCGGAGTGCAATCATCTTGGTCTTATAGTTGGCGAAGCCTCGCTGGGCTTTGCGAATGCTCTTCCCAGCTTCTGCAGCTTCTGCCATAACTGCTGCTCTTCTCTCTTTAAGGTCTTCTTTTATCGCTTCTCTGCATCGTTTCGCAAGTTCGGACGTAAGGTTTCGGTTGCCTGCAGCTCGTGCGATTCCACGTTGACGTATCAGCTCGAGTGTCTGCGGAGACAAGCGTCTCTTCGTGACCTTAGGACTTCTCGGCTTTTATAGCGCTAACGTGAAGATATTCAACGAGTCGATCGTATTCTTCGTCGATGTTGTCGACAACGGTATCTTCCCAAGAGCCGACTAATGATTTGAATACATCCCAGTTTATGGTAGTTCTGGGACTTCGTTGTTTGAATTTAGCGGCTTTCTCTCCTCTCCTCGAAAATCGGAACGTTGCGCGAAGGAGGCGATGGTCTGATCCCGTGTAGAACTTGGGAACAACAGCGACGTCGGTCAGGCAAAACCTTCGATTTACTATGATGTGATCTATTTCGTTATGGTACTCTCCATTGGGAGACTCCCACGTCCATCGCTGAGAAGAGGCTTTTGGAATTGCGAGTTACCATGGATGGTTTGGGTCGTCATGATAAACTCGGATAGCCTCTCACCCTGTTCATTCCATTCTAGTCCGTGGGTCCCTATGTGACGTTCTTCAGACGTTCTTCTAGGTCCAATTTTTGCGTTAAAATCTCCGACAATGACCTTGAAGAATGTACGATCTTCTCTGAAGAATTTTTCGAGGTCCATATAGAACGCTTCGACTTCGTCTTCGTCATAGTTCTAGTTGTCATATTTTTGAAAAAAACGATGTTATTGCTTAGAGAATTAATACATTGTATAAAAAGTTCGTAGCGTTTTGGTTTATCAATATGATTTTTGCAATTAAGTTGCATCATTTTAGTATCATTGGATTGCACATATCTTACGAAAATTTTGGTATGTAACTTGCCTATACTTTCTTGGAGATGGAGCTGTCTTGTGAATTATTTTGCTAACTACTCATGCAGCAAAGGCGTCCAGAGGAAGACCCTAGTGAAGAGGCCAGTCGACCATTTCAAGGGCAGCTTAACGATGAACTTTCTGTGGACGGCGAGAGCGTGATTAATCCTCTAGACTGTTGTCTCCAAATTTTTTCCTCTACGCGCCATTCTTTGGAATTTGTTCCCAAGACAACTTCATCCTAAGGCAAGTACAGGCAAGTTGTGTATCAAAATACTCGCAAGAAAATTAGCAGTCTAACGATAACAAATTCACACTCATTGCAAGAATCATATTGAAAAATTTATATCAGATCTAATTGGGTGCGACGTTCAAATCATCAAATCTGAGAAGTTAACAACGACAAGAGTCTTGATCAAAGAGAACATAGTATTAGATTTAATATGAAACAACCACACATTATGTTTAAGTGAGATAACATTTTTTCGAGAGATAGAAATCTTTAACATTACTTCCACTAGTGACATTCATGTAGTGTGACTGTTTGGTCGTCTGGACCTTGGATTGTCGTCCCATTATGTTTAAAAATGCTTCTATTTTCGACCATATCATGTGTCGAAACAAAGTCAGTTTCACAAGTGGATAATGACTCCGCTTAGATGATGATCCGGGTGGCTCGGGATTCATTAGAATTTTTCATTTAGGTATAGCAATCTCAATATGTTCATTCTATTTTTTCACAATTAAGCTGACACGCTGCTACCTACTTATGAATTGGTCCTGTGAATACTCTTTCAA